GCTGGCTGGGGAATTCTGGGAGTTGAAGTCCTCCAGGCTTAAAGTTGCCAAGGTTGGACACCCCTGGTCTAGGGCTAAGCCTTGCCCTTGAATAACAATGGAAGTTTTGAGTGGGGCCAGACCCACACTTACAATTAAGGCTGGAGAAAAGGACAGGATTTATATGAAAATTGGGATGAGGGGGCAGTGATCTATTTTAACTATGACATACCTATTTAGGAAACTATATTGAATACTCCAATTCAAAATGGTGAATTTCAGTTTTCAGCTATCCTGGTTTAAAAAGCAGTTTGTTGGGGCTACAGATTATTCATTTCTGTCTTAGAATGTAATCAAGATTTTAGTAAGCTGAGAATCAGTGCCAGTTGGTGCCCAGCTTTTACCCTGTGAAAATAATTTCATCTTTAACACAAGACAGATAAATCTGTTTTACCAACTAGAGCTGGATAACTTTAATTAGAAGTTCTGCTGCATTCACCCAAACTTATTTCTTGATAAAGCCACAAATGTTTAGGCCGCAATTCTACCTGAAGATTTTCTCAGGAACAAAGGAGCACCCATTGTTCCACTGCTTACCCAGGGAGAATTAATAGTATAACAACGCTTACCATATTTATCTTAAATATGGGCACAAGCTTTCAGAGAAGTGTAACTGGCACTGGCATCTTAATTCACCACACACAGAATGGAGAAGGGTGGATATATAGACCTGAATGTAAATCTCTGCTCAACCTACAGAAAAGTATTAATATGCCTTTTGGCCAGAAACTTTATCGCAGGCTAACTCAATCTCTCAGGTTTGTTTGGATAAGTGAAAAGGGATTAAAGGAAGGACTTTGAAAAAAAAAATAGTTGATACAGGTGTAAATCGGAAAGCCTTCTCCCAACCCATTGTACAAGGCTGTTTTAAAAATAAAATAGACGTGATTGAGAAACGTGGCCACAAACCCTAAACACGTTCTTTCTGGTGCATTTGGTGTGATAATATGCTTGCTTGTTTGGTTTTTTTTTTTTTAACCTTTGTTGTTAAGGGGGAACAGGCAGTTTTGGAAACACACGAGTTGTTCTTCCCCGGCCCCGCTATTTCCAGTTCTTTTTCCTTGCAGAATCCAGTTAGGAAGCTGCTGCTCCACCAGGGCAGGAAAAAGCTCCCGTGAGGGTGGGAGGCTTCCCCACTTGATCTCTGAGACCCCTTTATTTCCCTTTTTCCAGCCTCCTCCACTCCCCCACCCAGCTCACCGCCTTCAGGTCGAGCACGCCGTCCTTGGCTTCCTGCAGCAGCGATACAAACTTGGTGGTGAGCAGCCCCAGACTCTTCTCGTGCCGGCTGCTGTTGCTGCTGCTGCCGCCGCCGCCGGAACCCCCGCTGCCGTCCAAGCTCCCGCCGCAGCTAGAAACCGCCTCGGCCAGCGCCGCCGCGGCCATGCTGCATCGCTCCAAGCCTCCTTGGCCAGTGGGGTTTCCCCGGCAGCGGCGGCCCCACGTGGCCCTCGCGGACGGCCCTCTTCCCCTTCCCGGCCGCCGGCGAGCACAGCTGGACCTGAATGGAACAGCTCAGGGCCTCGCAGCCTTGCTTGCTGGGTGGGGGAAGGAGGAAGTGACGCTGCCTCTCAGTTGCTGGGAGACAAAGTTTTGTGTAGGGAAGGGGAGGAAAAAAAAAAGGTTTGTTTCTTCGAGGAGGAAACGTTTGCAACCCGCCTTTTCAGCTTAGCGAGCTCCCCAAAGTCCGACGGACCCCCCCCCCCCCCCGTGGTAAAATGAAACTTTCTCCAATTGGCAACACTGGAACTTTCTGCAACCACAACTCCCATCATTCTAGCTGAAGAGCTACGACCCATTGTATATAGTTCTGGGTGTGCGTTGAAGGACGCTCATCTTGAGATCTAGATATCATTTCCATAAAACGACTGAGCGGTCCCTAAACTTGTGGTCCTTACAGGCTTGCACAGAACTTGAGCATTCCCATCCTTGCAGAGGATGATTCTTAATTCTGTCTAGAGGGTTCTGGTTCTTCGGGTATCTGTTTTCATATATAAAGGTGTAGGAAGTTTTAAATTGTTAAGTAGTATGTTTGCATTCCGCCCTGGTTGAATTATCTAGAAAATGGGCAACTTTTCTTTCAAGGGATGAGTCAAGCAGATATTAAGAGTCATCTATCAGTGATGCTTTTATGTGGACTCCTATAATGAGTGAACAATTGAATTTGATTATTTAATTGGGCCCTTCAAAGTGTTCTTTAAATCCGCATATTTTAAAAAACTATTGCTTTTTAAAGGGTGCAAATAAAGATGTTTTATAAGTACTGTGTAAATTTGGCAAAGACCTGACAATGGCTTTGAATACCAATAATAATGGCAAAGGTGCCTGAACTGAATAATCCTTTCAAGTAGAGAAAGGATAGGCAATAAAACCATAAAAGCTGTAGAAAAAGAAATCAAAATTCATACTTTAGATATTTCAAAAACTCAGATTTGTATATATAATTTCTATTCAAACAGTAAAAAAGAAACTATTTCATTGTCTTAGAATTATAAAATAGTAACAATGATACCACAAACAAGTAGATTCCCCCCCACACTTTATTTCACTTATTTATATATCAAATTTAGAGAACACCCATCTCACTCACAGAGCAACTTTAGGCATTTTAGTGTCGGGTTGCCAACCTATGCTCTTTGAACTTATTGACAGTAGTTCCAATGATTTTCATAAAACCAATTTCAGAATAATCATTCAAACATAGGATTGTAATACCTAGATCCCTTTGATGCAATATCGTCATTTTTAAGGCTATATAGCGTTTAAGGAATGAAATTCAGCCCTTTTAATCACCTCAGATCTCCTAATTGTAATATACTGTTTAGCTTTAATGGAATGAAACTTCCATGTTTGATGTAGTGATTTTTATATGGAAATTTCTAGGTCACTGATAGTTTAACAAAAGGAAACTTTTATTCTGAAAATATTTACATAAAGTACAAATATAACTTATGGCGACATACAGCATTTCCTATCATCAAATAATCTGAAATGACGGTTACAAATGCCAAGTGCTATAGATGTTTCTCAAAGTCCTTGTTGAATATCACTCAAAGCAACTGTTAGCCATTTTATTTTCTCTTCCATAGTCTTTTTATTGTTTGCGGTTTCTTGTAGTAATTGACGCATTTCTTCTTCAACCTGATAAACCTGAAATAAGTGTTGTTGATAAGGTTATTATGTATCAATAAACCCAGTTCTGAAAGAAGTTGAAGATATACCATGGAGGCAGAAAAGTATAGAACTGCCAACAGCATATTTTCTAGAGATCACATACAGGTAATCCTCATTTGGCAACTGACTGGCCCTTGCAGTGATCATTCATAGTAACAATGGTGATGAAAAACTAACCTTGCAAACAGTCTTCCCATTTACAATCTTTTCAGGCCTATAAAACAGCAGTTCCCCAACCTTTCTGGCTAGGCAGAACGGTGGGAGAAGGGCTGGTTCTGTGTATGTGGCAGGTGTGTGTGCTTGCATCTCTATTCGTGCAAGCGTTGGGCACATGCACCATTTTGCTTTTCCTAGTCTAACCTTTCTATTAACCTAACTGAACAATTTCACAGACAAAAAAGCTATCAAATTCTTTTATTCATACTTCTATTCTTTGTAAAGAATCCACCAATTCTTGAATTCCAAACTTTTTTTCAAAGGGAAAAGTGAAGGCAACAGTTTAAAAAAATAAACATTTGATCACTTTTGCCAACAACCTCATTTGATTAACATATAGCTGCCTTCAACTGCTTAGCACAGTCACCTTTTCATTGGCTGCCACAACTTGTTTCTGTTTTTCATTTGCTAGATGTAGCAGTTCTGCTTGATGTGCTGCAATGGTTGATTCATGTTGTCTTCGGAAAGCATCATCCACAGAATGTAGTTTTTCCGCCATAATCCTAAACAAGGTACATTCTTAAATTTCCTCTATCCTATCATAATTTTCTATTGCTGATATTGGCAATGATGCCTATATATCAGAAAGCAAAATATTATATTCACCACCATCCTACAGCAATCCAGGTGTCTCACGTAAATAGATTTGGGAGGGTACAGAATTAGATTTGGGAAGGTACAGAAAAGAAAATATACGTGTGTGTGTGTATGTATATATGTATGTCTTTAAATCTAGGGAACATATACTACAGTATTAGCATTTTTTCAAGACTGTTTACAAATGTCATTTTTAAATCCATATTACTTAAAATCACATTAAAAGAGAAAACTTAATTTTGTATATTTTCGATGAAAGCTGGTAAAAAAGAATAACACCTATTTGTTCTTTTAAAAAGGGGTGAGAAATACAGAAACTGCTTTGCTTCAAGTAAAGCTGTTTCTCCAAAGATAATAGCAAGAACAGAAGTATACTAATAGGTGACTTATTTCTAAAGAGGTGCAAGTCTAGCTAAGTAACCGTTCCTAGAGGATATAAAAAAGCTGTGCTCAAAAACTGCTGTATTATGCCAAGTGTATTGGCATAAAAGAGGCTTTAACACAAGCAGAAAAGCATACACAATCACTTCATTCACATATAAAACAAAGGCTCTAGTTTATTAAACCATCATGTGGAAGAATTGTATACAACATCTTCATATAAGAGGGAAATTTCTGACTTTCATATTGAAAGAGAGACAAGCCACGAAATACCTTCACTCCCATAAACTAGAAAATGTTTTGGCCAAAGCAACTCAGCCAACAGACTAGCTTCTTGGCATCAATAAAATAAACCAGTGTTTGTGACTAAGCTTTGATTTTGGGTTAATTGGTATACAGATAAAATGGTCTATGAGCATACTTCTTCAAGGTTTAATAAAAATTTTTAAAAAAGCCCTTACCTTGTGTGTTGACCTTATTGAAATACTTACTTCTGAGCTTGAAGACTTTGATCTCTTTCCTCTCTCAGCTGCTGCTCCCTGATATCAAAGTTTTCTTTCATTTGTTTGACTTGTGCTTCCAACTTGTTCAGCAATCCTCCTTTATCTTGCCATTTTTTATTCATCACACTGAAATATAATAAATATGGTCTAAGTGGCTTCAGAGATTATCTAGTCCATAACTTAAATTTTATTAATTTTAAGACAGGTTTTCCACCAGCCAACCTCAAGGATTAGAAATGGGAAAGGGGTCTTAATAGTTTAACCCTATTTTCTCTTTCCCTCATGACTGAATATGAGCCATAATATTTCAATGTGTGTAGAAGATGATATTGGTTTTAAGCACCTATAAGATTCTTTGATGTCATTGAGCTCAGCATCCTTTTCTTGCAATTCATGCTTCAGTTCTTCTTTTCTCTCGTTTTGCCTTTCTAATTTTTCCAATAAATTATCTAACTGTGCATCTTTTTCCTGGAGTTGTATTTGAAGTCTCTTCTGTATTTCAATATTGTCTTCACGAAGCTTTCTTATTTGCCCATCTCGGTTCTGTGAGGCCTTCAAAGTAAGATGTTTTAATCATACATTTAGAGTGAAACAAATTTAAAATTTCTTACTCATCACATAACTTACATAATTCTCTCCACTTTTGAAAGAAATAACAAACAGGAAAAACAGTATTTTTTTAAAAAAAAAAAACCTTACCAGCACAACCTCACAAATTCATGAGAGTCAATCCAACCAAAATCTTTAAACTATTTTTTCTATTTAATACTTATCCTTGCAGTCAGCAAAACTATTTTCAGTCATGATGTGATTGGCTCCAAACTTTACTTATAGACTTTACTATTTAACAGTGTTTTATTTATTTTACACTTCTGTCTGTTTTGTCTAATGACTGGGCAGCTTTAATAATAAAAATAAAATAAAAGCCACTAAAACTAATTACCCCAGTGAATTAAAACAATATAAGATTGATACTGGTACCACACTGTAAAAAAAGTGCTGGTATCTACACCAATTTCCCTCTGCAACAATGGGCAATATAGAAGCAGAAAGATAGAAAATAAAAAATAAAAAGTATTCAATCTGTTCATGAAGTTACATCATGACAATTGCAGCTTTCCAATGCCCCAAAATAAAAATATAAATTTCTGTTGTATCTATATCCCTACTTTAGAATTGTTAGGGTTCACACAGTGCCTTGATCAATTTCATTTTGGATTAGCATGTTGTGACCCAACCAAGTCTTATACAATAATCAGGCTTAAACTGAAATGTGATCTAGTCTAAACTGTTATTTACAATAGGCTAAAGAAAAAGAGCACCCTTACTTCTTTTAGCTTTCTAATGGTTTCGGTTTGATCTTCCACAATTTTAGACTTAATCTGCAAAGCATCATTGAGAGATTCATTTTGTTTTTTCAAAGCTTCAGTTTCACTAGTTAGAACTTCTATTTTGGCTTCCAATTTTCCCCGATCTTGAGCAAGAGAAGCTCCTGAGAAAAATAAAGACATCAATGCTTGTGGTGTAGTAAACACTGAAAATATACAAGGAAGTTCACAGAGGGATCACTGTTCATCTAAAGCTTGGTTTTAAGTACCAGATTCTCATTCATTCATATATATGAATTAATATATGTATATGTATGGTATTCAGCTTTGTTCGGGTATTTTCCCACGTCATTATAGTTGTGCTTTTAAAGTTGTAGCAACGTTTCGGCAGAATCTCATCTGCCATTATCAGGCTTGTATATTGTGTTCGTCTGTGAGTCAGGCTTTCACAGCCATTTCTGTTTTAAATTTGGTGCTAGCCTACTGCTGTGTTAGAATGGATTTTTCTTCATCCTGATTGGTTGGGAGTCTTGGTCTGTGTTTATTGGTCTTGGAGTTTGTTGTGTTCTGCTTGATTGGTGTTTCTAATATCTTCTGTCTGTTTTGTAACATTTGGTTTTTGTTTTTTGTCTTGATTGACTGGCAACATTGTGTTTCCTATATTGGAGGCTTTTAGTGTGGCTTGGCTTCGGGTAAACGGATGGCTATCATTTATTGGGAAACTAGGTTTCATCTGAGTGCCTGGTTGGGGTGTGTGGAGGCATGGGGGGCGGGTCTGTTTGTGCCCAGGTGTTTGCTTGGCTTTTTTGTCACAAACAAAAAACTCTCCACACCACAAGCCAACTTCTCCAACTTTTTGAGTTCAGGTCTTTCTAACCTTCCCCAAAGAGTTACTAAAACAAAACAGACAGACACTTTCTTAGACATTGCAACTGATATGATGAGCCTTCTCCTGCAATGGATAATTGTTGCTAGCATTATTTTACCTAGTGTGTCAGTAGCTAGGAAACAGATTGCCATTGAGGTCTTTTATTTCATTTACTCTAAGCTGTTTGGGATTTGAAGAGGAGCAAATGTTACTATTTATGCCAAGAGTGTCAAACTCGCATCATCATGGTGGCTTCACGTGACATATCGTGACTTTCCCCGCTTCATTAAACTGGGCGTGGGCATGGCCAGCGCATGATGCATTCGGCCTGCAGGCCACAAGTTTGACAGCTTTGATTTATGCCAGCCTATGTCGGACAGAAACAAAACACATCCAAGTCTTGTCAAAAGAACCACTTCATACTTCAAATGCAGCCTGGAAAGCAGTATCTAAGGAATCTTGGTATTTCTAAATGTTCCCTTTAGACCAGTTTCTCAACCTCAGAAACTTTAAGATGTGTAGATTTCAACTTCCAGAATTCCTCAGCCTATATGCTATCCAGAGAATTCTGGGAGTTAAAGTCTATGCATCTTAAGGTTGCTAAGGATGAGATACCCTGCCTTAGAGATATTTAAAAAATAGAAGCCACTCAGCTTACAGAGTCTCCTGCTTCTGGTGTGAGGTGCACCTTGTGGAAGTATATTTTAACTGTGTGGAGCACTGCAAACATAATAGCACAATTCACGAGAAATTATCTCCAAAATAGGCATACAACTGAAGTACACATCATGCTGGTATTTTGATCCCATATTCAGACAAGTTTTATTTCTCAAAGCAGTTCACCAAGCAAGATTTTTTGAGATGATTTTTTTCCCTGACACATGTGGGAACATGTGTCTTTCTCTCTGCTTTGGTGATCTTTCAGGAAGGCAAGGATATGCAGTCTTCTATGTATTGTATTGGACGTTAGTTTTATAGCTTTTACAGGGGATTAGGCCCACAATGATAAACTGGTTGGTTCTAGCAGGGGATAGATAAATGATAAAAGACTGAGTAGTTTACCTTGCTGTGCCAGCTCCTCTCCCCATATTTTTCTTTCTGCTTTTAATCCATTAATTACAGACTCCTGAGCTGTTACTTGTGAGATAAGTTTTGAATTTTCCTGCTTAAGAAGCTCAAGTTGAACAGTCTTTTGTTGATCTTCCTCTACCATATTTTCAAGAGTTTGTATCCGACTCTTTACATAAAAGAAAAAATAGAAACCAACAATTTTAAAGCAACTCTTGATATTCTAAAACAAACATCTTCACATACATATTGCAGAATATTTATAATCACTTGTTGCTGACAGTAGTAAGATCTCTAGTTGTGACTTCTAAATGAACCTAATGTCACCAAAGGGGAACATCTATTGCATCTATTTGCTGAACTCCTTTGACTTTAACTGTAGAAGAAAAGTAAGTAATCTGATGAAGCACTTAATCAAGGACAATAAAGTGATGAAAAGCTAAAGAAGGATAAAAAGAAATCCTAAAGAATAAAAAATTAAGATAGCTAAGATAACAAGCCAAAGCAGGGGCTATTATCTTCTATGTCAGAATTAAATTCCAGGAGCATTGTTCATTGCAGTTTATAGTGAATATAGGAGATTAGTTCAAGCAGGACCAGAAATCATGGTTCTGCAACTACTGAAAAAAAAATGTTATAGAAAACTATAAGCTTCCAGTTTTCACCATTCGAGCACTTCCTCCATGTAGGTCAGAGCTTCTTCTCCATCCAGCCAATAGATCCATCTTTATTAACTAGACATTTCTGCCAGATACACACTCTTTACTTATTTTCTCTTCTCCGCCTGCTTTCAGGACAGAAACTTTACATGTTGTCTCTAACTGTTTGTGCTCCATTCACAAAAGTATGTTTCATCATGGAAAAGCTTTTCATCACCAGTTTATGATCATGAATGATGAGAGATGGGATGATGAAGCACACAAATTTTAATTTTCTTGTGGCTCACCCACATAGTAAGAAACCATATATTTTGCTACATGCGAATGACAATGGTTGAATTATGAATTTTTCTTAGTTATTTCAGATTAAACTATCTCTTTGAAATGGTTAGCATCACAACTTACTCATTGATCATACAAAAAGCTTTCATTGCATTGAGCGGGAATCAAATCTAAAGTACAGCATCATAAAATGTTTTGTTATTGTTATTAAAGTGTTTCTGAATCATCACAAAATACAATGTATAGAACACAATATATAACAGATATATCTAAAAAGCCGTACTTTCAAGTTGTACACTATGTCTTGCTTTGATTTGATTAATTCTGTGATTTTATCTTTTTGTTCTTTCACTACAGATGTCAGCTCATGGATCAAAGTAGCAGATTGCTTTTCCTTTTGCTGAGAGTGGAGAAGAACTTGTTTATGCTCTGCCAGCTCTGCAGTAAGTCTATCAAAGCCTTCTTTAACCTATTTTAGCAAGAAAACAAAAGATTCAAATAAGGTGTTCAGCCTAACATTATATTGAATGACAGTTCAATTTAAAAATGCATTCACTATGCAATATTAACTTGCACCATGAAAGAACAATTCAGGCCATCTATTGATTTAAAACATGTCAGAATAAGACACATTTAAACAAATCAAACTTATTGCATTTTAAATTTTTACTTGCAATACATTTCTTTTAAAAATACTCTGCTTTAAAGTTACATGAATAAGTTTATTTTCTTATAACTGAATAAAGTTTTTCTTCTAAATGGCTGAGGTTTTTGCTTGTTTTGTTCTATTTTTAAGAAAATACTGTTCAGAAATTATTATCCCAGTCATAATACTTTTTGGAAGTGAGGTGACCAAGCAGGCAGTATACATTTGCCAAGGTGTTCTAAAGAAAATCATTCCATTGATCTATAGGAAGTTCTTTCGATGGTTATACTATTTCTTCATAGCTAGATCCTCAATGATTCATTCAAGTTTCTAAGAAGCATTATTAAGAATGAGATGGATGAAGCTAAGAGGTTTATAAAACTGAAGGACATTTGAAGAACTGAATCCAATAGCAAAGTTGTTCTGAAATTTACTGAGACTTAAAACAATTAACTGTCTTTCATACACTTGAATCATTGTGATGTACACATGCATTTGTTCTTAATTTAGAATGACTTCATTACTATTCATGAACTTTAATTTGGGTTAGAGAGAAAGAATTAATATACAAAAATCTATCTAGAACTGTAAACCTGGAGTGAAGGAAAGGAACTCAGAGAAGAACACATACATAGCCTGTATTAGAAGAACCCAAATCACTTTATTTTCATCCTTTACTTGCATAGTGAACACTGAAAACATTTTTTTAATCTCAGTTAAGGGAGATCCTTCAAGATAAAAACATTCTAAGCATCTCTTAATTGTTCAGACAAAGGTTGTCAAAAAAAGGCTGAAGCATTATATAACATTTGTACAAATGCCATTTTAACATTTGCATGATTGGTGATAATATTGGCAGCTTATTAGTATGGACCTTAGGTTTTGGAAGCTTTTAAATAAAACACTATTTTCAGAAATAGAATCACCCACCTTAACCTTACATGTTTTCAATGTAGTTAAGACATTTCAGTATCTACTGAAATTGGAGGTCAAAATAATCCTATGGTTTCTTTTCCCATATTTTCGCTTCTTACCTCTGAAAATCTTTTGGCTTCTATAGTTAAGGCTACACGGAACTCATTCTCTAGATCCTTGTATTTCTGGTTTAACTGGTGACGTTTTTCCTGTAGTTCTTTAATATGGTCCTTATGTCTCTGTTCTTCTCTGGCTACTTCTTTTGACAGAGCTTCTTGAAATTCTGAGCCATTTAATATAACTCTGGTTTCCAGTTCTTTTCTGGAACAATAAGACATAATACATTAAGATGAACAGAAACTGCTTTTCATAAGCAAAATTCTGTACTTCTAAGAAGCCCATATTTAATTTGGAGGCACAAAATACAATCTAGAATTTCATAAAAATTCCAGTCAGATGATTACAACTCCATTATAGAACCACAATTTCTGCCATAAGGACTTTCTATCATCTTTCAAGCTTATATGCCAGCCTTTAAAACTGAAGGGCACATATGTTTTTGGCTGGCACGATGGGAATTAAGTTCTAGAAAGTAGGTAAAGCCAAAACAAAAAAATAGTATGAAAGCTAGTCCAGTATAAAACAAAAATATAATTAATCCAGTATTCACTCCATTTGTTACTGTTAATGGGATGGTCAGTTTGGTCTAGAAATTAAGGCACCAGGCTAGAAAGCAGAACATGAGTTCAAGTTCTGCCTTAGCCATAAAAGCCAGCTGGCTGACTTTGGGATTTTCTCTTTCTCAGCCAAACCCACCTCAGACGGTTGTTGTGGGGAAAATAGGAAGAGGAAGGTGTGTTGGACATTTTCATCATTTTGAGTTAATTGTAAAAGCAATAAATGCAGGAAATAACATAATTTGTAAACCGCCGAGTCACTTATAGTCACCTTTTGTGATGGAATGCACAAAAATTCAATATATATTGAATATATTGAATTAATTAATTTTAACATGATAGAACTGGGACATTTATCTCAATATATTCAGTGCATTAATTAATTAATTAATTAATGCACTGAATATATTGAGATAAATGTCCCAGTTCTATTATGTTAAAAATAATTATTGCTTGACAGCTTCTAGAGGAGTTCTGGTAGTTTCTCCCAAAGTCATCAGGAACCACAAGTTGTACAGCTATTTTTTTTAAAAAAGATACAATAAGCAAACAATCAAGTCATTATGAGTGCAAGTGAAATTACTATATTTTTCAGATTATAAGATGCATTTTTTCCACCCCCAAAAGTGGGTAGAAATGTCTGCATCTTATACAGTACAATGAATGTTGCCAAAGCCCCACTCATCCACCTGCTCCCATCCTTTGGCCTATGCCTCCCAGCCATTTGCCTCCTTGCAGCGAACAGCAAACAGCCTGTTTCAGCTTCAGCACAGCCTGATTAGCACAAGCAGCTGATTGTCAGTTGGATCGGCCTCCCGACTATCAGCTATTTCAGGCTGCAGGGATTACCGTAGCCTCTTGCTGCCTCCGTGCACCCCATTTCCGGCCTCTGCATCCCATTTTTGGCCTCTGCGCAGCTTGTTTTCAGCCTCCATGCACCCCATTTTCTGCCCTTTCCAATCCCTGCCACCCAAAATGAGCTGAAAATGGGATGTGGAGGCCAAAAATGGGGCAAGTGGAGGCGGCAATAGGCTATGGCAATCCTTGCAGCCTGAAACAGCTGATAGTCAGGAGGCCTATCCAACTGACAATCAGCTGCTTGTACTATTCAGGCTGTTTGCTGCAAGGAGGCAGAGGCCAAAGAATGGGAGAAGGTGAGTGAGCGGGGCTTCGGCAACATTCAGCAACAGATTTTTTTCTCTTGTTTTCCTCCCCAAAAGCTAGGTGTGTCTTATATTTCAGAGCATCTTATACTCTGAAAAATACAGTAAGACAATCTAACATACAAAGATCTACGCTAAAATAATCAAGTTGATTCCTTCTTTATTTTCTAAGACATTGATGATTTTTCAATTTAGATCTATATTGTATATAATTTTTTGATCATTAATTTTTATAAAATTTGATTTGGAATTTCCACGTAATGATCTATTGTACAAAAAGTTTGTAGAAAAGCTAATCTTATTTAATTGGATTAATTCAATCAAGAAATGTTTAAAACTTGAAATGCTTTTAGCAATTTTTTTTTTTTTAAATTAGATGTTTATTCAAAATTTCAAAAATTTAAAATGAACTATTAATGTTAGGAATGATAGTCACCTAACAGTTGGTTGGAAATATATAAACCCGGATAGTCATTTAATACTGTTGTATCTTTAAGAGAATGCTGTAATTATGATTGGCTGAGGTTCCTCCAACGGCCATAAGATGGAGCCAGAAATCTGGTTTCTCTCTTTCTTGCATTTCCTGTTTTGCCGTTTTGCCTGATCATCGTTCTGCTTGGATTGCTGTGAGACTTGCAACTGTTAGCAAATTCTGTTTACTGAACTTTGTTTATGATACTTGACTTCGTTTTTGGATTATCCCTGGACTGATACTAACTACTTTAACCGTGTATGATTTGGACTGTTTGTTGGACTTTGTTTACTCGTTTACTGGAAGTAAAACTTACATTTTACAATTCAATGTATCTGTATGCTGGTTGTGTGTTATTCAACATCACTCTCACTACGTTTCCCTGAGTGCACTCATTCTCCTAACGGGGAATACCTCAACAATTCCTCACACATTCAAGAATGCTACATATCTGCTGGATTATCAGGAGACATGTACCTGTGTTCCTGCTCTCTTAGTGTTAGGAGTTCATGGACTTGTTCCACCTTTTCTTTTTGTTGCTGAAGACATATTCGAAGTAACTGTACTTCTCTCTCAGCTGCTGATGCTTTAAGTTCTGCAGTTTGAATTCTTTTCATCTGCGATGTTTGAAGTAACAGCAAGAGAAACAATCACAATTTCAAAGCTTGATAGCACAAGCAGATGTCCTTGAGCAATAATAAGTTTTCCCATGGTACAATTAACAAATGTTAGGGTATTTTTTTAAATTTCGCAAATTATTACCTGGGTTTCAGTATAAAATACAATACACAAGTATTATACAGTAACTTTTGACACTGTGGAAGCAATAATTTAAAGTTTTTGGACTGAGTCAGCAGAGCTGTTTTGATCCAATATCAAAACACAAACACTATTGACTCTTATCATGCTGATGAACTTATCTTAAAACATGTTCCAAAAATCAATACATGTAATTAATTTGACCATATTCAAGGAAGAACAGAGCTATTCTTTATATATCAAATAAAGTTCTGATCATATTAAAAAAAAAATTCAAAAAGCAAAGAAACGTTTAACTGCAATATTAAAATGATCTTTTGTTATATTCAGAACCAACCACTCTACCTCTGAAGCTTGCTGCTGTGCTTTTTGTGACTCCAGCTTGGAGAGAGCTTCTTCTAAAGCACGGAGAGCCTTTTGCTGATCCTCTTCTTTTTGTTTGGACCGTTCTAGCTCCTTACCAAGTTTTTCAGCTTCATCTTTCAGTTGCCGAATATCAGCCTGAAGTCTTGTCTTTGCATTTCGTTCTTTCAAAATCAGCTCCCTTAGCCTGAGAAACATGTATGTGGATGGTGTATTTATTTACTTATCTATATCCCACTTTATTATTTTTAGAAATAACTCAAGGTGATGAACATATCCAACACACTTTCCTCCCATTTTCCCCACAACTTCATTATTTTACTCCAAAATGTTATTTAAACTTCCAACTGAACAAATGAGGAGATGTCAGATATCACAATTTAAAACTGATGTATCCAATCCAAGGCCCACCTATGGCCCTGGATAGCTGGTAAAGTGCCCCACAAGATAATAAAAGATATAAAAATAAATTTTGTTATTTAATACATTAACTATATTATTATATATTAACTATATTATTACATATATTTTATATGCAACCCCAGATAATTCTGTACACTCAATGCAGTTCAGTCAAGCCAAAAGGTTGGACAGTCATGATTTAGACATACATCTTCCTATATCTTGTGTTTACAGTTTAGGATATCCAAGCAGTTAGTATCCTCTAGATGTGTCAGGACTACAGCTCCTAGATTTCACATACAAAAGACCGTACTACTGTACTACTACTACTACTACCTTACTATACTTCTATGCTGTCCAACTCCCAATGACTTTGGATGGCTCATAACAATCAAAACAAATAAATTATGATAAAACCAATAAAAGGAAAAAGAAGGAAAAAGATGGCAGGGATGATAGATTGGATGGAAACGAAGACCTGACCAATAACTCTTTGAAACAACATCAGAACATGGGCCATCCAGATCTCGGAGAAAACCTCACTGCAAAGGATAGGCATTACCATAGTGTAAGGGCAGTTCCAGGATCCTTGTATATTACATAGGTTTAATCGAAGGTACCTGGGGTTTACAGTAGCAACCCTGCAAGATCAAATTGGCCAGGGAGTTACTTTCAAATCAAGTAAGTTCTATGGCTCAGAATTAACTCGCTCTGCCATTCCTAGGCCACTTTCTTACCTAGGTAATATCCAACAAATTTACAGAAAAAAATACCCCAAAAATGTCACTTTAGACCTTAGAAACTCTATAATCTGAAAGATATAGTGAGTTCAACTAATTTGCTAATCTACTGTGTTTCTCATATAATAAGGCAAGGTCTTATTTTTTTTTTGAGCCCCGAAAAAATGGCTTGGCCATCTTTTCAGGGGTGACTTAATTCGCCCCCTTGCATCCTCGGGTGGGCGGCGACGGCTTGGATGTTGACCTCGGCGTTGGTGGGGCACTTCGTATTGGGGTCAACACAGGCAGCACCATACCCGGGTGTGCAACAAAAGTACTTCCTAATGGCAAGTCCCCCCACCATTCCCCCCATTTCACACGTTTTAATATAGGCCTTAATTGGGGGGAGGGGCTTCATTTCATGCCTATAAAACATGCTGGGACTTCCTATTGGGGGAGGCCGTATTGTTGGAGAAACAGGGTATATATAACCACAAGAACTGATATTTACTGTTTTCAAGAGCTTAAGAATGTTAATAATGAACAAATTCTTTCCATGTAAATTGCAACTGTACATTGTTAACACAAAAGAAATTATAGAGTATACAAATACTCACCTATCTGTAGTGTAAACAGCTAGGCTTTGAATATCTTTTTCTTCTTTGGCCTGGTTCTGCAGCTGCTTAATGCTTTCACTCAGTTTCTTTTCAGCTTGTTCAGCTTTCCATCGCTTCTCTCTCTCCTGATCTAATTCTTGAATTAGTACCTAAATAAGAAGAAAATGTCTTTTTCTGAAACAAACTAGTAACGCATCAAAAGTCCCTTGCCTATTACAACAAAAGCTATCCCAATTTGATTTTAAAATTTGTATCAATACTACACTGCAAACTGAAAATGTATCAGGTACATATCACTTCAGAATAATAAACATATCTACCCTGTAAGTGAATTCTTCTTGAATACCAGTATCCACATTTAGTTTTTTCAGTTGACTTTTCGGTCCACACAGTTTTTCCGGTGTTTCCCCCACTACTTTCAAACTTGCAATTTCTGAAGCTGGGCTTGAACTTTGTCCCTCTTTGATGTGGGATTTTTGAAATTTAGACTTGATGAAATCTTTCTCTTGTTCTCTAATGTGAAACAAAAATTGAATTCACATACACAAATGTATAAAAGCTTGTCAGAATATCAAGTGGGTATCATTTAAAGGGCCTCAAAGTAATTAGGAGGGTATTAAAAGCTATGAAACTATCCCACAGGTAAATTTCTGCAAACAATCATCCTTTCTACAGTTTCTAAAAATATACCTCTGAACTAGTTTTTTAGGCAGTAAATAAAATGAACCCAAAATTTTAGATTCATTTTCAGCAGCTACATTTGAGTTTTAACTTTGTTATCCAAGTCAGAAGAGAAAATAGAAATTATTTATGTCAAAGATGAGCTCCATTACCATTAAGCTTCACTATTAATTAGTCTTTATTTTCATGAAAACCAGGCTACGTTCAATTCTGCAGATTACTTATCTTCATAAAAGAGTAACAGACTACATGTGAATATGAAAGCACTGATAACTGAATTAAGACTAAGATATCATACCTGGCTGACAGTTTTCCCCTTTGAGAATGGAGCTTGGTTGATGAAGTGTTTTTCCGATAATTAGGCAACTTGCTTCTTTTAGTAGCTTTTCTATTCTCTTTTCCACTTTCACTACCACTCTCTGAGGTAAAATCTGTTTCTTTTTTGGCTTTCACAGTCACATCAGCTTTTGAAGAATTAGTAACCTGAAAATAAACAAATATGTTAATTAGGAATCTGGTCTGTT